CACAGAGAGACAGAGACACAGAGAGACAGAACTCACAACATGGCTCCTGGGTTGTGCAGCACGGAGCTTCCAGCTGGCCTGTAGTTCTATAGAGATGAAACAAAGAGTCCCCAGCTGTGAGAGGGTCACACACAACACACAGTACAGAGATACTGTCATGGTGCTGTTACCTTGGTGGTGTTGGGAGGCAGCACATGCAGCTGGTACACCGTCAGGCACAGTTTGCTCAGGTTGATGTAAAAGTTCACCATCACGTCCCCAGGCATGGGAGGGGTGAACATTTTCTGGAGATGGAGGACACACACACATGTTGTTTTTACAGCTGTTTTAACTCTCCTGGTTTCTGTTCTTCCACCACATTTTGGAACATGGCACCTGAAATGTGTGGGTTCAGTCAGGACTCAACTTCTCCTCCACCAAACTATGAAAACCTATATTTGAGCTTCATAATATGAATCTACGCTGCTGTAAGAGGATAAGCAAAATGCCCCAACCAAAAGAAAAAAACATATTTCTGTTTTCTCAAGTACAAATACTCAATTCGGCCACAAGAGGTGTTCCCAATAGCCCTACAGTCATGTGTTAAGGGCTTTGGTAGAGACATGACAGTATAGTCACATCACTTGCAATACATCTTCATTAGAATGAATTGAAATATGAATGTTTTAGTCCCAGTTAAAACACTGGCTAGTGATGCACGTCAACTTCGTGTGGCCAAAATGAGTACAACAACAACAACAACATATTCACCTGCCAAAACATTGTTTTTGTCCTTTATTCACAAACAGACATTATTATTTGATGATGATTATTTCAGACAGATTATCTTGGCAAATGTGTTTTATCTGCCTGGCCAAGCTTTTCTCTCACCTTGCACACAGGACAAAAGCTACTTAGTTCGGACTTTAACCATGGTATCTTTGGTTTGCACATCTCTGGCTTCCATACCAGGCCCCTGGAATTACATTGATTTAATCAATTGTTTGAGTTAGCCTGATATATTCATCTTAACTTAAAAAGGGAGGGAAATATCATATCTTAGATATCATTGTATGCTGCTAGAGCATTAAGATGTTCTCTTCATTGGAACTAAGTGACTCAGACTAAAACAAGATTTCTAAAGCTACAAGTTTGGTAAAAAAACAAACACATATAGGCTAATATGTGTGTGTGTGTGTGTGTGTGTGTGTGTGTGTGTGTGTGTGTGTGTGTGTGTGCACCATCAGCCCACTGGTGGCCAGCTCGGGCAGCGTCATGGAGGCGGGGGTGGTGAGGCGGTTGCGGGCTCTGGTCAGCTGCAGCATCACTGCGTCCATGAGCTGCGGCAGACACAGGAACAGGAAGTGAGCTCACTGACAAAGCAAACAGTTAGCCATGGTCAGGGTTGCCATGAGAGACGGAGGACACACCTTATTGACCTCGGCCCCCGTCTTGAAGTGGTAGCTCTCGTCACGGCTGCCCAGGAGCCCCAGGGCCTGGTTCACGTGGTTCCTGGCATCCTGGATCTGAGGAGAGGGAGAGATGTGAGGGATCAGTGAGGCATACAAAAAACATTCTATATTCAAAGTCAGAGAATGACACTCAATGCATGGGCAGGCTGGGGGAGTAACGGATGTAAAGGGATTACGTCATCAGGATACAAAAAAGAGGTAACTATTCCCTTACAGTTACATACAAATAAGAGCTAATCAGATTTCTGATACATTTCTAGAAAATGGGGATCACTAGCATGATGGCAGTGAAACCTAAACAGAGCATGTAGTGTTTGTTGCAAAGGATCAGATGTTCTCTCTTCTCTGTTCTGTAGGCTTTCAGTGTGAATCTATACGCCTACTGCCTGAACCTGCTTTATGCTTTTCACTTTCTTTGCTTCGTTTGTTGGGTTTTTAATTCAGCAGGTCAACCTATATCTCCATAACATAGGGTGTAACTAAAACGGAGCAGCTCAGATTGTATTCCTGCTTTTGTAAACTGTAGTGTGTGCTCATGAGTTTCAGTGCTGCCTGAATATGCTGAGTGACAGGCAGCTTTTCCTATAAATACAATTATTTTTAAATATCTTGGTTTCTTCTTTCCTAAGGTCACATTGTTCTGTTTTCTTACATTATACAAAGTCAATTCATCGTATTGATATTTATTTTCTCTGGTCTTTATTTGCATTGCATTTGATATTGAGGTAATCCAAAAGTAACGGAAAGTAATCAGATTAAATGACTCTTATATTTTGATACTCAGATTAGGTTACTGATTACATTCTTCTACAGGTTGTTGGTAATTGTAACGGATTTCATTTTTAAAGTAACCCTGCCAACCCTGTGCATGGGCGTCAGAACACTTACGAGCCTCTAAACTGTCAAATGAACTAGAACATTCAGAGAAATGTTGACTGTGTGACTGAAACTTGGGTGCGCATCCCGATGGATTCTTGTACCACATTCGTTTCTGAAAATGTTTAGATTACCACTGGATTTAGTTAACGACCGACAGGTGTGTTCAAAGCTCCTCTCCCCTCTAGCCATGATGTTACCCACACTAAGTCTTAACCAGCTCTCCCATACACACCCATTATAACATGTACAGCTGCGACTACGTGAGAACCGTACTAGCTATCAAAAAATATCCAAACAGTCCAATAAAGTCCATAGCCTTGAGAACCGTGTAAATTTGTAATTCTACGTTAAAGAATGTGGAATCTGTTTGGGGTCAAAGTGGGGTGTTTTTGAGCTCTGTTCGAATGGATTTCCCATTCATTCCTATCGGGCAAATGAATGCAGTTTTCTGCAATTTGCGTGAAAACTGCTAAGCGAATCTCTTATAAAAGACATAGCAACCCGATCCCGGTCATTCCGCACGTTTGGATGTCTTTTTTGTGTGTTTCGTGTCAACGCTGCCGGACAAGAAGCGTGACACAATGTGTGGCGGAAGAAGGAGAATAAGATGAGATAAGTATGTTGAATGATATTCTGTGTGTGGCTTCGCCAGTCGCACAGAAATACCAGCAGATTGCTGAACTGCTGTAACTAGAAAATACATTTCCTGCAGAAAATGCGTGCGAATGCTGTAAACTGTGAACATTTATGGCTGAATTTAGCTGAAAATGCAGAAAAAGCTGAATGTGTTATTAGCTGAATGGTAGCTGCTTTTAGCTAAGTAAGTGTGTTGCTAAATTTAGCAGAGAAATGCAGAAAAGTGAAATGATTCGAATCAAATTGTTACAGCTCAAATGCATTGCAATAACTTCCATGTTAAAAAAAGACTTTGAAAAGCTGAATATTTTAAAAAGTATAACATATTTAGAAAAAGTTGAAAGTTTCCCATCATGTGTTGAAAAGGATGAATAGGTCGAATGTACTTATTGTAAGTCAGCTAAATGCAATGTAATGTAATGAATAGTTTGATATTTGAATGGTTCCTGCAGCTGAAATTAGTCTGAAGGAGTTAAATAAAGATATTAAATGTAAGCAGTAGTGATTGAATGTTTACAAACACCTGTGTGTGTAAACCCAGAGATCAAAGGTTACCATGGTGTCTGCTCTGATTGGATGATGTGACTCATGATGTGTGTGTGTGTGTGTGTGTGTGTGTGTGTGTGTGTGTGTGTGTGTGTGTGTGTGTGTGTGTGTGTGTGTGTGTGTGTGTGTGTGTGTGTGTGTGTGTGTGTGTGTGTGTGTGTGTTGTAGAGTTATATTTGTATTTATTCATGTTAGCAAACTATGGATAAGCTTAAAATGAGAATAATTTGGGTAAAACTGTGAGCTGCATTTGGGGCCTGTTGACATGTGTTTTTGAGGACAAAGGAAGATGGGGGAAGGTGAGAGCATGTCCTGATTTGCATTCAACTTAGATCTAGCTACAGTGGTTTGTAATATTAAGAGAGGTCTCTTGGGTTTCTCTGGTGCTTATCAATAGTAGCAGTTAAGTGAATACTGTTCAAACAATACCTGTGTTTGTGTTTTATATTGATTTCTCTGTTTTATCCTTTCATAAATGTAAGGACTACAAATGGCTATAAACATTCTGGGCTGGTTGGAGTAAACAGGGTTTTATTGCTCTGTGGGGGAGGTGTAGGTATGCAGGCCTTGAGACCTTTTGTTGGAAAGTGAGCCTGTTTGGTTTCCTGCTGGCCAGCGTTGCGTCTCCCAATGAGATGACCTGAAAAGATGACCAGCTGACCTAACACCAAACCCCTCCTTCTTACTCTGGTATATCTCCGGTGGATCCCTGGCGTTCGGCCTCTTCTTCACATGCTGCCCTCGGGTGAAAGTAGCTCTGCAGTATGCGAACCAGTGCAGGAGTAAGCCGGCATTACTCTTTAAGCATTACAATATAACTGTAATATATCATGTTGTATTGTAATGATTGTATTGCATTGTCATATTGCCATTAAAGTAGATTATTGTTACCGGTTACTTTGTAGATATGGATTCCTTCCTGTATTATAACCAGCTGGATAGGGACGCGCGGAGATTTGAAAAGCGGATCAGATATCCCTTTAAATCTCTAACAGTGTGTGTGTGTGTGTGTGTGTGTGTGTGTGTGTGTGTGTGTGTGTGTGTGTGTGTGTGTGTGTGTGTGTGTGTGTGTGGCTCCAATCTGCCCAGCAACACCTTGACAGCCAACTGCAGCACTGAGTCCCATAAGAATGCATTGAGGATTATATCTGACAATTTTGCCACCTGTTCAAAAACTATGGCTCTTATCAAAAAATGAGCAGACCGTGAGCATCAGGGAACCCCAATGAACTGAAATATGTTGTTTTTTTGGGTTTTGTGTGTAAAATGTGGAGATGGGAGCAGTTTGTCTAAAGTGTACTTCTCTCTGCTCTGAAGAAAGATCCGGATTTTTTTTACATAGGAGTCTAATGGGAGCTAGGTGAACTTTTCTCTCTTCATGCCCTCAAGAGGCCTTTTGTTTAATTTTTTTTCTTAATTTTTTTTTATTTTCCAGCCTAGGAGAGGTTTTCCTACGTTTTTCATGAAAAAATATGTCTGAGGAGTGTAGGGTTTGGGAATCATGGCAGGTTTAAAAAAAAATGTTGGGAGAATTTCAAGCTGTCCTGCACTCTGTTTTGAGATCAAAGCACTCTAGACTTAACGAGCTGCTCAATACACACTGATGAAAGCCTCTTTAACAAGTTCCAAACTAAGTTAAATATCTCAAAAAGTGTAAAAGATATCAAACATTTGAATAAGAATTGAATAGCTGAAGGTCTTGTGATCATTTTAAAGTTGGAATGAAGTCTCTAGCTGAAAGTATGTGGAAGGAGAAGCATTTGGCGCAAGGTGTAGTTAAAGAGGAAGCTTCCTCCCATTGACTTCCATGTTAAAAAAAGAGTTTAAAAAGCTGAATATTTCAAAAAGTATAAAATCCCATCGATTCCTGAACAGGCTGAATAGTTTAATATTTGAATGGTTTCTGTAGCTGAAAGTAAGCTGAAGTTATGGAGAGATAAAGTATTGGCTGAAATAATAATAAGGGGAAGAATAAAGAACATCAATAACAATAACATCAAACTTGAGCAAAAATACATTGAAGGAGTCCATGTGTATAGTTAATACCAACACTGTTGGAGACATTCATTTGAATGCTAATTCGTTTTACACTATCTTTGTCAAATTGCACATTGACAAAAAAACACTCCTTATGAGAGAAAAGTAAATCCTCACACTCTGTGTTTCAGGGTTGTGTTGTGTGTGTGTTAGCATCACACACTCCACACCGTACCTGCTGCAGCTTCCACATTTTGTCCTCTCTGAACTGAAAGTGTAGCACTTGGCTGCTCTTTGCAACCTTCAGGTTTATGTCCTGTGAAGAGAGGAAAAACATTAACTACAGTCAATGAGTAACATGAGAGGAGTAAAGCCTGAGAAACTCACAGCCTGAGTCAGAGCCTCTCCCTGCAGAGTCAGCACCCCCTTCACCTGGTCCATGCTGCAAAACATCACACTCTGTTTCAACATCACCAGGAACTACAGGAAGACACATGATGTCAAACACATGATGTCAAGGGAAGGCTTTACTCGGGGTGTTTCTCAATGCCACTATTTCAAGCATACTACGTCATCAAGTGCCGCCGAAGGACTGTTCCAATGTCCAGCATACTTGGAATTCTACCGAGGCCGGCGTACTTTGTAGCGGGACATTTCGAGGCTGCACATGTGTAGACTCCGCGGTCTTAAAATCCCCACAATGCTTTGCGCACGGACCAATTTCCAAATCTTTGGCAGAAATCGCGCTCCATTTAAGGCGGGGCCTCTCATATGACGCACACCTGCACACCCGTTAGCCTGTCCCACCATTCTTCGTTTTCCGAGGCTAGGAAGGATTCTTGCCTCGCTTCTGAAGCAAGTGACTCGGAAGACGTGCTACCAAGCAAGCATCCTCAACATTGAGAAACACCCAGTGGGTGGAGGAGGGTACCTGATCTGAGGGATCACAACATGAAGGAAGTGATTTTTATTGTGACTACCTATTACTGAGAATATGACAGTCATTTCCTCCACAGGCAGGGCCCCTAAAAGTTCATGAAAACAAAAGGTATATCGTGTGCACGAGAAAGTACGTATATCGTGTGCACGGTGTAATACTTTCTCGTGCACACGAGATACTTTAAAGTTACCGGTGCGCCAAGTAGGAAGTGGAGCGCACAGGAGACAACCGTTTCATTGCAGACTGTTATGTTTACGTGGGGAAATGGCAGTGCATACAATATTTGAGATATATTTCAAACTCGGACTTCATTTTAGGGACATTTCGATTTCGGCCAGAGGTGTAGAGCTATATTTGTTTAAGCACCGAATCAGCAAAACAGGAGAGTCTGTGAACCAGTCTGCCTTGATCTATGAATCTATGTCCGTGACTCTCACAGTATCGCTATCTGCGCGCAGAGAGCTGTGTCCTTTACGCGCCGCCTTCACTGTGTTTACCTTCATTAGAACAGATGAATACACACACACACACACACACACACACACACACACACACACACACACACACACACACACACACACACACACACACACACACACAACACACACACACACACACACACACACACACACACACACACACACACACACACACACACACACACACACACACACACACACACACACACACACACACACACACACACACCACACACACACACACACACACACACACACACACACACACACACACACACACACACACACACACACACACACACACACACACACACACACACACACACACACACACACACACACACACACACACACACACACACACACACACACACACACACACACACACACACAACTAATAATATGGCGTAATAATCCGGCAGTTCGATGTCGTGCGATCGAGAAACTTATTTTTTCCCCCATGAACCTATAGGGGCTCCGTATGTTAAAGACAGGACCTAGTTATTTCACTACGGACACACTATTGTATTTCATTCATCATGTCCATAGTAAGTTGAGGTACACAGAGTATTACGTTGAGCTGCCGAGGATGAAGTTCTCCTGTTTGAGCTGACTCTCCAGGCCTGGGGTGGGCATGGAGAAACGTCGGGAGGCCTCCTGTTGGCAGAGCAGACTCACTGTTAGAAACATCACTGAGTTGTGGATTGGTGGTCTTTGAGTTGATAGATGTATCATTTGAGGTGTGGGAGAGCAGTTGGAGAGACATGATGTTTCTGATGTTAACCTCTGGTGTCTAACTCAGTCACTGGGTGAATGACTTTCCCTGGTACCAGGTGGTAATGTTTAGATCATCAGCTTTCAAACTGACACCACTCTGTAAGGCAGGATCTCTGATATCAATGTAAAGCTCAAACCTGATAAAGCCCCCCCCAGAACCACAAAGAGCTGTTTTGAATAACTTAACATTACAAATAGACGGACCCCCACATGAAATGAATGGTAATAATTGGACCACATCACCAAGTTGTTGTATAAACACCTGTATACATGAAGCTGTCCTTTTACCTTGAGGACGTCCTGGAGCTGCTTCAGGACAGCATGCACTTCTTCTTTCAGCAGCCAGTTGAACTCCTCCTCCTATTCAAAAGAAAGAACTCATGCATACAAACGGAGGAATATGGGGTGGGACCACTTCAACAATACATGGGCTCACAAATACCTTTGTATTACAGTCATCTATTTACGCCTGAGTTAACACAAGTACACTAAAACTGTGTATTTATTTGAAATGAATGAAAGTCTCTACAGATGACATCCACAAACTTATACAGTAGATGGCTGTGTTAGAAATGAAAATGCAACGGTTGGAAGTTAACGTGGAAGTGAATGGACTGTCGTGGGAATGACACCACTTTACCAGTGTTGCAAAAATAATGGAGAAGGGTATGCTAACTCACTGCTAGTTAGCAGCTACAAGGATTCCAAGGAACAGGAGGGCTGTGTACCGGGTAATAAATCTACAAGTGGTAGTCCTCCCTGGAACTCTCTGGGTGCAAAGCCTAAGAGTAAATCATTTCCATGGGATTTGGGAGGACGGATAACAGGCAGAGCCCAGAGCTCTGATGCGACCGGCTGGCCTGCATTGTTATCACCCAGGAAGAGCGCCTCTTCAACCCCTAAACAGCCGTGGACAGCGGCTAAAGGGAGAATTACAAACAATCCTCCTAAACCACCAAGTGTGCCAATCCAGAACAGATACGCTCCGCTGACCGAGAGCCGGAGATCTCTTTCTGATGACCTGGATAACCTGTCCTCCTCACACAGCAGGGTAAGGACCAATAGCTACTCCAAAAGTAAAAGGCTAGAGGGAAAGCTAACGACTGGGCCTGAAACTCTGATTGTGGGTGACTCTGCTGTAAGAGATGTAAAAGGTCTGTGTAGTAAGAACAACACCAAAGTACCAAAGTACTGTTCCCTCTGCCAAGGACAAGCGGCATCAATCTGTTCCCTCTGCCAAGGACAAGCGGCAAGAGGAATCAAAACAGGAGAAAGACACAACACATCGCGCAGAAAACCCTGAGGAATTATCACTGCACCCGCCTGAGGAATGTTCTATGAGACACATGGAGGAGTCTCCACTGCCCGTCACCCCCCCCCCCCCCCCCCCCCCCTGTCAACGCCTTTGAGGATACTCTTCATTCATCCCCCAGCTCTCTCTACTCTCCGCTCACCCTTTCACCCTCGCCCACCCCCCTGGAGTTCGATGACCGCATGAAGGCGACACGCAGGGCTGGCACCGATTCCTTCCTGGAGTTTAATAACCAAACTAAGGCGATACGCAGGGCTGGCAGCATGTCCTTTACCCCCGCTCCTCAACGACGCCCACCAAAATCAATGAAGCAGAGACGCGCACCATCTCCCCCGTCGTCATCAAGAAAGCATCTGCAGTCTCCGAAGCCTGATAAGGATGTGTGTGTACAAAATGCAACAAACTCTTACTGATATGTGCTGGGTCCAGGCTCAAGGGCGTATGACACTCTCAACTCTTTCCAGGACATGTCGGGGCCCTGCCTGCCAGTAGCTTTGCCGATATCTGTGTTGATAGGTAATAGATTAAGAGCGGTGAATCATCTTAGAAACAGGAAGGGCTCAAACGTTTGTGTGAGTGTATCTAATTTAGCAGTGATTCCATGTCAGCCACAGCTTGTTACAAAAAACATGACTGATAGTGTGTTTAACAAACTTAAACTAGCTTTATTAAATGTCAGGTCTTTGGCAGGAAAAACATTTTTAATCAATGATTTAATCACTGAGCACAATCTCGATTTTATGTTTTTAACAGAAACTTGGATTGAACAAAATAACAGTGCAGCTGTTCTTATCGAATCAACCCCTCCCAACTTTAGTTTTATGAGTCAGGAAAGAATGCATAAGAAAGGGGGTGGAGTTGCTATTCTGTTCAATGATTCCCTTCAACGCAGGAACACATCGTATGGAAACTTTGATTCTTTTGAATATGTGGCCCTTCGGCTGAAATGCTCCTCTCGAGCTCTGTTCCTAAATATCTATAGACCACCCAAATACTGTGCAAGCTTTTTTGATGACGTTACTGAACTGCTGTCTATAGTGTGTATTGACTTTGACCGTCTAGTCATTGTTGGTGATTTTAACATCCATGTTGACAACCCCCAGAACAGAGGGGCTAAAGAACTGTTTTGTGTTCTTGATAGCTATGGACTGACTCAGCATGTGACGGAGCCCACGCACAATAAGGGGCACACTCTGGACTTAATTATCTCAAAGGGTCTGAATATCTCTAAGGTTGTGGTGACTGATGTTGCACTCTCTGACCATTCCTGTGTTTTCTTTGAGAGCTCTATTTCTGTTCACAAAAATGTTCAAAAAGAGGTAACCACAAAGCGATATTTAACTGAAAATACTAGGGAAATGTTTACTCAGAATTTTTCTTCCACACTTGCCCCTGCTAACATCTCAGTAAATGAGCTAGTAGATCATTTTAATTCAAAAATTGAAAATGTTATAGATGCCATTGCTCCAACTAAGGTAAAGGAAGTGTCTGGCAAGAAAATATCTCCATGGAGAAAGGCCATGACCGTGAAAACAGAAAAAAGACAGTGTCGAAAAGCTGAACGCAGGTGGCGAAAAACAAATCTCCAGGTTCACTTTGAAATCTATAAAGAGAGACTTGGCCTTTATAATTTGGAATTGAAAAACGCACGACAATCGTTCTTCTCTGACATCATTACCAAAAACAAAAACAACGCACGTGCCTTGTTTGCTACCGTCGACAGACTAACTAACCCCCCAGTGTCAGTAGCCTCTGAATTTCTATCCACCAGGGCGTGCAATGATTTTGCCTCCTTTTTCACTGACAACATTCAGAAAATCAGACAAGCAGTCAGTGCCTCTGCATCAGGAACAGCAAATGTGTTGTCCCTATCTCCACTTAACATCAATTCAGACATCATGACACAATTCCATCAGATTAATGATAAAAACCTAGAGGACATTATTCAACTTCTGAAATCCTCCTCCTGCTGCCTTGATATTATTCCAACAGGATTTTTCAAAGATGTTTTGCCTTGCATGGCCTCAGATCTACTTCATATAGTAAACAAATCTCTTCACTCAGGTATTTTTCCACAGGCCCTGAAAACTGCAGTCATTAAACCGCTCTTAAAAAAGAATAATCTAGATGCTTCATTAATGAACAATTACAGGCCCATATCAAACCTCCCATTTCTAGGTAAAATCATTGAAAAAGTTGTTTTTTCAACAGTTGAGTAATTTCTTGCATTTAAATAACTGTTTCGATGTGTTCCAGTCAGGCTTTCGTCCAAACCACAGCACTGAGACTGCTCTTGTAAAGGTCTTTAATGACATCCACTTAAACACAGACAGTGGCAGAACTTCAGTGTTAGTATTATTAGATCTCAGTGCTGCGTTTGACACTGTTGACCACAGCATATTACTAGACCGACTGGAGAACTGGGTGGGACTTTCGGAAACAGTTCTGAATTGGTTTGAATCCTACTTAAAGGACAGAAACAACTTTGTTTCTATAGGTAAATACACATCTGAGTTGACAAATATGACATGTGGGGTTCCTCAAGGCTCCATCTTGGGGCCTCTTCTCTTTAACATCTACATGCTACCACTGGCTCAGATAATGAAGAACAACAAAATAAGTTACCATAGCTATGCAGATGACACACAAATGTACGTAACAATTTCACCAGGAGACTATGCTCCAATTCAAACACTGAGTAAGTGCATTGAACAAATCAATGACTGGATGTGTCAGAACTTTCTCCAATTAAACAAAGATAAAACTGAGGTAATGGTTTTTGGAGCCAAGTCAGAACGTATAAAAGTTAGCGCTGAGCTTCAGTCTGCAATGTTCAAAACAACAGATAAAGCCAGAAATCTAGGTGTAGTCATGGACTCTGACCTGAGTTTCAACAGTCACATTAAAACAGTTACTAAATCAGCCTACTATCACCTAAAGAACATATCTAGGATTAAAAGACTAATGTCACAGCAGGATTTGGAAAAACTTGTCCATGCTTTTATCTTCAGTAGACTCGACTACTGCAATGGTGTCTTCATAGGTCTCACTAAAAAATCTATTAGGAAGCTGCAGCTGATTCAGAACGCTGCTGCTCGAGTCCTCACTGACACTAAGAAAGTGGATCACATCACTCCAGTTCTGAAGTCTTTACACTGGTTTCCTGTGTGTCAAAGAATAGATTTCAAAATACTGCTGCTGGTTTATAAAGCACTGAATGGTTTAGGCCCAAAATACATTTCTGACCTCCTGCTAAATGATGAACCATCCAGATCTCTCAGGTCTTCAGGGACTGGTCAGCTTTCTGTCCCCAGAGTCAGAACTAAACACTGGTAGAAGCAGCGTTCAGTTATTATGCTCCAAATATCTGGAACAAACTCCCAGAAACCTGCAGGTCCGCTACAACTCTGACTACTTTTAAATCCAGGCTGAAGACTTTTCTTTTTGTCGCTGCTTTTAATTGAACTATTCATATCTTAGACTGCACTGTAACTTTTATCCATGTACTTTTTTCTTTTAATGTTTATTTTACTATCTTTTCTTTTTAATGACTGATTTTAAATGCCATTTTCTTAATGGCTTTCGTTTTTTGTAAAGCACTTTGAATTGCCTTGGGTTGAAAGGTGCTATATAAATAAACTTGCCTTGCCTTGCCTTAACAAATGTGTCATTGTCTCTAAGATAAAGAGATGCTTCTTTCTGATGATAAATGCTGTTGTTGAGCACAAAACTATTCCATTAATGTGTCATTATGCTCATTTGTTCTGTTACAGTTTGGTTTGTGCATTACATGTATTCAGTTGATCTGATTGTGTGATAAGTGTTAAATTAGGATTCAGCAGTGTTGTGTCTCATTTATGAATATGAATATGATTACACTTTGGATTTGTGTCAGATGCAAAGAACCCACGGAACTAGGATATTTGAGCATTGCATATTGACCGTCCTGGTCTCTGAAAACAGCAGGGACATTTACTTTGTGTGTTATATTGTAAACTGGGATTTTTTCCCCAAAATATTTGTTGTTCATATTGCTGCTTTTTCATAGTCTTATTCTGTGAATGGAGACACACATCCAGTTGCTTCAGCAGACCACCAGACTTTGGAAAGACTGGTTTCTGATATTACTTATTGTGAAGAGAGGCTTAACATGTGTTGTAAAGACGTATAAGCGAATATTACAATTCCATTGTTGAATTGAATTAGGCTTTAAAGATTCCTTTGTTAAAGCTCTCTCCATTGGTTAACACTAGGAACCTTTGAAAAGAGAAACATTCTTTCACAACATCAAACTAATGGACCAGCCCCATTCACACATCTCATGCCAATTTTTGATGATTAATTGATTTTGGACATTATACAGGAAGTTATAATTGTAACATTATAGTTGTATGTGCTGGTATTTATATAGTATTCATCTGTATTTTGATATGTTTGAATTGCAGATGGAAATCAGATTTGAGCTATAATCTGGCATATAGCATGTCTTCTCTTTGTGAGATTTATGGATTTGTATGCATGGTCCTTGTTGAATAAAGACATGTGGACGGTGTGGCGCAGTGCGCTGTGCAATGATCATCAGATCAAGGGGTGAAACCCGCCGCTGCTGCGTCTGTAAAGCCGGTGTGTCCTTGGGCAAGACACTTCACCTGAACTTGCTCCTGTGGGTATTGTCCACAGTGACCATTGCATGTATACAAAACAAATATGTGTAATGTGTATTTGTAAAGCGCTTTGAGCATCTGGAAAAGCGCTATAATAAATGTAAGGAATTATAATAATAATAATAATAATAATAATAATAATAATAATAATAATAAGAAGAAGAAGAAGAAGAACAATGCCATTACAGTAGAAAGTAACCAGATTTCCAAGGCTAAGTTTGAAATATGTTCTGTTAAAGTTCTTCACTGGGAACATTAGGGTTATGCTTCTGGTATTGTTGGAATGACGCTGTTTTGCAGTGAATGGGATAAACAGGTCAAGTCTTTAAGGCCAACCATGTAGTTGCAGAAGGGTTGAGTCTCAGCTCAAAGCTTACCGAGCAGCTGAGCTCCGTTGGTTAACAGTAAGATAATAATGTTTATATCGTACAGAGTGTAGAAGACCTGTACAGAGATGGTGACAACAGAGAAACAGGCCCACTGTCACAGCATCACTAAAGACAGCACCTGTATGGAGGATGCTACACTCCCTCTCGGCTAGCAGCAGCTACATTACTCACATACAGACAGTATCTACATTCCTTTAAAATATCACTTCAAAATGCCAACACATTTGGTATTTACGGACGGGCTGTCAGTAAAGCAGCCATAGACACAAGCAGCAGTCTCTCCCTGCGGACCGCGGAGCTAACACTCACCAGCACCGCTCTCTCCACCTGGCTGGCGGCCGACATCTTGGGCAGCTCAGACAGAGACCTCTGCGGGTTCAGCATGTTGTACAGAACCAGGATAACACTCGTTTTACACCTTCAAAACAATGTCCTCTCCCTGAGATGAAGGTCTCTCACTCCCTACGAGATTAACAGAAGATGTGTTGCCTTCGGGTACTGTCGGAAATAACGCGAGCGCAAACACAAGTGACCAAAAACAGCGGCAAATACAGTTGTAAAGATGACCCTTTCGAGCTTGGTTTTGTCTCTAATATAATGGTCCTGCTGGGAAATTAATCCTCTGCAATGCATGTTTAACTCTTTACAGGTAATATTGTATTAATTCGTTAACAGCTGTTAAACCACACTGTTAAATAGTGTTTTCTTTCTTAAACATTTCAAACAAAGAACTGTACATTTGAACATTAGTTTATTTTTGCTGTTGTGTTATAGTTCTCCTATTCATTACGTCACTGTGCAAAAATCAGTCGCATGCTGCTTGTCATTTTGAGAGACATCCAAAATCACAGATATTGTCTGACTGATCGTGACTGATGCCTTTTTTGTTCTGAGGAGAAAATGTATTGCTCTTTACGAGGACCACGTGAATGCACCATTAAAGGGTCACACATTCACCATTAGACTGGCCCCGCCCACCAGTCAGGCTTTGAAAACCAGTCTCTGATTGTGTTACGTTATTATGAGAGTGCTCTCATACTTACTGATTCTGAAATTGTATATAAATATATGTGTGTGTATATTTCCGAATCTGTAGCCTGTTATTGTCTCATTATACAGCACTCTCAATGAATCAAAGTAAATATATAATTCGTCATGAACACATCTGTCCATCAGACAGAGGGCTGCTGTGCCTCCTGTCATCATTAATGGACGTCTCTTTAAAATGACCGCTCAAAGGAGAGGAGTTCTCATTTCTCTAACCGCCTGCTGCTTCCCATCCTCTCTCCTCGGCTCCCCTCCTCGACACCTCCGCTCGCATCTCCTGTGGGCGGGACTAAGACACGAGGATAGGAGTCGAGGAGGGGACATAAGAGAATTGAGAAGCCTTCACGCAATCAAGGGCAAAAACATACCTGTAAAACACTTTTTTACTCCTCTACATTTATCTAACACTCACAATTACTAGATACTTTGTATACATGCCGATATGGTATAAGGCTGTACTGTATACACAGTATGTGAAATTATAAAACTACAATACTAAATGCTTTGACTTGTATAAAAACAGGATAATACAGTAACCATAATAATTAAATATAGAGTAATGTCACTGTTGATACTTGAAGAACATTTAGCTGATAATACTTCTGTTCTTTATTCTTAAATGGACCATTAATACTTTTATTTTGTGTACTTTAAGTACTTTTTGATGGTATTATTTGTGTATCTTTACTTGAGTAGAGTTTTGAAATCACGACTTGTTAGTGGAGTATTTTAAGATCATAGTATTTGTACTTTTACTCAAGTAAAGGACCTCAGGTCTTGTGAGAGGCCTAATCTTTAGTGGTGGATGGGACATGGAGGCTCAAGCCTCAAGGGTGTGGATCTTCCAAAGACAACCTTTCTGGAGTTGGCCTTATATGATTCTATACCTTTACCTCCGGTGTATTATTCTGCATCTACCGGCAATCCATAACAGCTAAAACAGAGTGACTGCAAAATCAATGATTGACTTTCATTGGTCTTCTACCATCACATGTTTATTTCCCTCTGTGCTATAGAGCTTTATTTTTGAACAAAAACTATTACAAAACAAATGAATGTTGCACTTATTGCTTTATCAACAGTGCACCCAGCCTGTGGTATTAACGTCATCTTATACTTGCTAGTTACTGCCTCTTCAAAAATTCTGATGCCCAAAATGTTAATTATTTCCTTTAACAATTGGGGAGGAAAACAATAGTGTCCGCTGCAGGTGTTTTTGTAAAGGTTTTGAGCTTTAAAAAGTGTGCGGTGTGACTCGTTCTTTGGACTTTTATCAGGAAACATTGAGCTTGGGTCTGAGAGCTACAGATAAGATAGGACAGTTACACAAAGATCAATACGTTTTTAATGCATCGAGGGACAAATATCAGAGATCAAATTAACAGACTAAATAAGATGGGAAACTAGCTGCATTTCAATTGCATTTTCTATTATATTTGTGTGACAATTTAACTAGGAATCAGTCATTAAACACAAATACATGTCCGTAATCAGGAGAGAATTTATTAAACAGCACAAAAGTCTTGATACTTCCACATGTACACAAAATCATAAATATCCCCCGAAACCAAAGGTACACCCTCCTTCCTTTACCGGGATCCGAGTCATTGTTATTTAAATGCCATAAACCAGATTATATAAACCACACAATAACCAATTTACACTTGAACTGAACGATCTACGGTATTAAGACACATATTTTAGACTGTAGTCAAAAACACAAGTAGTATTCCCGGTTATTGTGGATATAAAAGAAAGCCTACTCAACCTAATGTGCTATTTACACCTGTCTTCTAAAAACCCATCTTTACACTGCAGTGTGGAAGGGCTATTTCAATCTAAAAGCTTTAGCATTTCTTTGACAAATAAAACTGGAACACATGCATTGTTTTATGAAAAACTCATGTATGTACCGTTTAACTGATGAAAACTGTGGGCTCGAAAGAAACTAAACACAATGAGCTCTTACAGGTTTTGATGGTGCACGCTTTCCTGTGTCTTCATATCATACTGCATCATGGGTAAAAGCGGCTTGCTGCCATGTTTAACTCACATGCCAGAAGGTGACAAGACAGAGCTATGATGAGCTCCTTATGAGAATATATTCCATGTTTCTTTTGCATATGTAGGACATTAACATCTGCATTAGTTTGGGTGTGATGTAGGACATTAACATCTGCATTAGTTTGGGTGTGATGTAGGACATTAACATCTGCATTAGTTTGGGTGTGATGTAGGACATTAACATCTGCATTAGTTTGGGTGTGATGTAGGACATTAACATCTGCATTAGTTTGGGTGTGATGTAGGACATTAACATCTGCATTAGTTTGGGTGTGATGTAGGACATTAACATCTGCATTAGTTTGGGTGTGATGTAGGACATTAACATCTGCATTAGTTTGGGTGTGATGTAGGACATTAACATCTGCATTAGTTTGGGTGTGATGTAGGACATTAACATCTGCATTAGTTTGGGTGTGATGTAGGACATTAACATCTGCATTAGTTTGGGTGTGATGTAGGACATTAACATCTGCATTAGTTTGGGTGTGATGTAGGACATTAACATCTGCATTAGTTTGGGTGTGATGTAGGACATTAACATCTGCATTAGTTTGGGTGTGATGTAGGACATTAACATCTGCATTAGTTTGGGTGTGATGTAGGACATTAACATCTGCATTAGTTTGGGTGTGATGTAGGTCTTCAAAGGTCGAACATTGTTGACAAAATGCTAAATGGGCCTTCATTGGACAGGACACATTACAGATGATTATAAATCCAAATGGATGAGGGTATTATATTGACGCAAATAACTAAGAACCACAGTAACAAAACTTGACCCGTCTAACATAATTATACTCAACATAAACTAGACACAAGTAGATCCCTACTAGATAAAGAATGTTGGAAGCAGAAAACCACAAGAACATTTGAGTTTTCAGAAAATGAGTTTTTGAAGGAGTATTTCATATATGTATGGAGCAGGAACATTTACAGTGTAATACAAACTATGTAATGGACACACTGTTTGAGTGTGAACTTGTGAAGACCTCCACTACACAGTCAAGACCATCCTTGTGATGTGACCATCTGCCCCCCCCCGCCCCCCCTTCATTAACCTGAATCCTGTTGCGGGCAATGTAAGAAATAAATAATAAAAAAGGAATCCATTGATTGTTACGTTTCCATATCTATGAGCTCAAGTCTGTGTGTGTGTGTGTGTGTGTGTGTGTGTGTTGAGTTTTGACTGCTGTAATGGTTTATCAATATAACATCTGTGGAGGTGAGTAGGTTGAAAGAAATGAAGCTGTCCGACCACCGAACAACTTCAAAATGTTTAGTTTATAATTGAATACTGTCCAATGATAGTCTCAAATTGGCTTATGAAACCCAGCCACCATTTAAAGCTCCAATTAGCAGATCAAAAGACGATTGAAATGGGGGCATATTATCTCCTTTCGTTAAAAAGCAACTCAAAAAGTAGACATTATCTAGTTTCAGAGTAATCATTTAAAAAAAGAAAAAAGTTTAATGAGAACTCTTCCCAAACGTTAGAACAAAGGGTTTCAAATATAGAAATCTCAAGATCAGATTTATCAATAATTACTGCATTTTAAGGCCTCAACACTTCGGTTGCTCTGTCCTTAAACTGTTCCAGATAGATCATAAACACTAACGTAAATGCATAAATCATCTCTTCAAATATAGAAACAAGCAATGGCCAATCTGCACCAAGCAGACCTAGAAAGAAACAGAAATAAATACTAATGTTGAAAGACTTGAGGGGTTACACAATATTAAGGCAACGCAGTGGCATGTTCTTGGTGTTTTCTCTCGTGGAATTCAGGACATTTAAAAAAAAAAAGAAGCAAAAAGCAAATTTCACACTCAATTAAATATACTCATTTTCCCATGAACGAAAAAAGAATCTTCTTTAGGGCGATCCATCCAGGAAACCCCCCCCGCATGACTTCTATTTCAGCTGTCAGAAACTAGACAAAGCAACTGCAGTAATACAAGCTCTCACAGCAATTATATCACAGTACAGTCAGTGCAATGCTCAAGGCCCCCCAACTAAGGAATAACAATCCCCTCAATTGTGGGCGCTAACATGGCGGCTGCTGCTGTGGCAAAATGAAGTCAAATAACTAGAATTTAAAATGAAACAAGAAATGCGTTACTCGACAAGGGAGAAAGAAGAAGGATTGAAGACGGTGGGCCGGATCCCAACCGGCTCAGTGGATGTAGGCTCTGTACACAGCAGAGATATCGTTGTCTGACTGGTCCAGTGCCTTGGCCCTCTTGTAGACCTGCAGGGGAACAGCAGGGAACACAGGCTCACTCTCATTGCATTTGTTATTCAAGCAAAGTCTTCCAAAGTCTTATCTTGTCAAAACAACTGGGCCAATATTTTAACACAGAAGTCCTCACATTGAGCAAATGTTTTCTTTAAAAATGGTTGGAACCCTGATAGAACGCGTTACACTGAAGACAGCGGGGAGTGTTACCTCATTGGCTGCAGCGGCCATGGGGGTGGGATGGTTGGCCGTGTCACCCATGGAGATGGCTAACCTCAGGTCCTTCTGAATGTGTTTCAAATAGTAGTCCGGCTTAAAGTTGCCCTGTAAAATATCTGGATGATATAGAAAGAAAAGGTTTTATTGGCCCGAATTCAAACACATACACATTTGTTTTTGTTAGAAATGGTCTAATAGCAGGGTATACGCAGGAATCCTGAAGTCTAATTGAATACCTTTTAAGACCTTTTTTAAGACCCTTTCCATACATTTTAAGACCTCATCGCAACTTCGAGTTCTAACCGGTTACATTGGAGACACACTTTACCTCACATTTACTATATACAGTATGGATTGTAAGATAGCTCAACTAAACAGCTTGTGATGACTTCTTATCATAATTCAGATAGAACAAAGCACAAGAGAATGAAGTGTGTGACCAACCCAATGCATTGATTTAGGCATTGTTCCCAAGAGTGCAGACAGACTACTGAAGCCTCCTGTTTCATGTTGTCGTTGCTGTGGACCTTCTTAATCGTCGTCATCTTAAGCGTCTTTGGGTTCAAGAAAAGTATAAATATAATTTATTATTATTGGGAAATGCCGTTTAATACTTTTTAATAGCCTTAATTTTCGCTAAATTGATTTATCAACTTCATCAACTTTTTAAGACCACGCGGACACCCTGAATAGGGAATATGAAACCTGTTTTTATTGCCACACCCTTTTTATAATGTACGATACCTGTAACGAGGGACATGCAGGAAATAAAACACAACCAGTGAGCAGTGTTCAGGCGATTCAGTAGAGAAATATCCTGTGTGAGCACATACTTTGGCATTTCTGGTCCACAAAGGTGCTTGCCATCTGGCCCTGGCTCAGGATGTCCAGGAAGGTCTGCTGTGATTGGCCGGTGGCATGGGCCAGGGTCAGCCCTTCTGCAATGGTGGCCATGAAGCTGCCCTGCACCATGTTGAGGATCAGCATCATCCTCGCTGCATTACCGGCTTCCCCTGGAAACACAAACAAGCATTTGGAAACACATAAGATGTGTCTCCACCAGAGGTCGCGTTAACCGAATATTTTCCGTCTATGACGGATTTTTTTTTAAACAATGACGGAAAAATTTGAAAGCATTTTGACGGATTAGAACAAACTCGGAACAGCGCCAAAGTTTCCCCGCAGCGAGGCTCCGGTGTTAAGCACGCCCGCCAAAAAGGAAATGATACCGTTTCCAAACCCAACTTTGCCCTACAAATCATTGAAATGTCTGAGTTTTGGCTTTACGCTGTGCGCACTCCCGCGAGGTGCAGTGGGCATGCATAACACGGCGCTAACAGTTCACAAGCGTGCGCCCCGCCCCCCGTTGACAGTTCACGACTGTGCTCTTCCCCCCCCCCCCAGAGTGTAAAGGCCGACGGGTAATATATTTTGACGGAAATGTTACAATCCTGTCCGTCAAAATGACGGGCAGTGAAAAAGTCTAGCGCAACCTCTGGTCTCCACACTGAAGTGACAATCATCCTCAGCGCCTCTACGCCTGGAAGATGCTCTTCAATCATGTTGGGTTGCCACATGGAAGAGAACCTGCAGATAAAAACCTACAAATTAATGCACACAAAATGTGTTCATCTGACGGCATCGGGTAGATCATTGTGTGACAGAAACCAGACAGACCCACCCTGACCGGTTGTCAGCTTACAATCTACCCACACTTTCATAATGGACATACTTGAATCACTCATTTTATCTTGCAGAGTTGGATTTAAAGATTGTTAACAATATGTATCTGAAGCTAGCAGCGGTTTAGCTTGGTGCAGAGGCTGGAAGCTTTTCTGGCTCTGTCTGCAGTTAATGCATCCCCCTACCAGCTGTTCTGAATAATAACACGTTTCAATTCCTACCAAGATGTAGTGCTAGTATAAAATAACCAGTCTGTTTTATTGAATGTGATGTATCAGGCTTGTCTGTTAATGACCAATAACTCACTGACGTCTCTGTTGGTTGCTTGGCAACTGCACAGAGCCAAGAAATGTCCAATAAGTGGTTTGTGTTCTATGTTAAAACTATTGTGAGAGTCTCTAACAGTAAACCCAGAGCCTGTGTCTCTCTGGTGCGTACCCAGGAAGAAGGAGGTCTTGCCCATGGCTTGGAAGCAGCTGCTGCAGTCCTCGTACACCGTCCTGTCCCCCGCTGCCAGGATGACCAGCATCCCATCGTTGGAGAGCTGCTGGCTTCCTGCCACCGGAGCCTCCAGGAACCGGCCGCCCCGCGATGTGATCACCTTACAGTCAAACAGCAGAGAACTCTTTAATACACAAATACTTACACTAAATCAGGGGTATTCAACTTCAACGAGGTCCAGTTAGACAAAATGTCCCCATGCAAAGGTCCGGAACATCAAAATGTCTAACTTGCTTTATGAATTAGTGTGATATATATTGAAGTAGCCTGTAGCTTTATCAACGTCTGCATGTAATCAACAACTGACTGCCAATCAAATAAAGAAAGTACAATTCAAAAACAACAATATTTATCGTCAATTAACATTGAACTAAACAGATATACAGTAAATACTGTGGATATGTGTAATGTTCCTCTCGGGCTGCATTTACAAATAAAATAGATAAAATAAATAAAATAGCTTTTGAAAATATGTGCATCTTAAAAGTGCTTAATTTCAGATAAATAAAATAAAGTGCAGCAGCAGCTTGAGTTTCCCTTTTTCTTTGTTAACCGTTTCACATCATGACATAACAGTTTCAGCAGATTATAGAACAATATCAGTCTTTACACATCATAACAATTGAACAGTTTTAAAGTTTATCTTTCTTTCCCTCACTTTTTTTTTGTTCAGTGAGAGAATTGAGCTGGAGCTTGTCCTGCCAGGAGTTTAGATCTGGGCTGAAATGGTGTCAGGGCTATTCTCATACACATGCAGGTGCTCATTGGTTAGCCTCGGTTAGCTCATTGGTTAGCCTCAGTTAGCTCATTGGTTAGCCTCGGTTAGCTCATTGGTTAGCCTCGGTTAGCTCATTGGTTAGCCTCGGTTAGCTCATTGGTTAGCCTCGGTTAGCTCATTGGTTAGCCTCGGTTAGCTCATTGGTTAGCCTCGGTTAGCTCATTGGTTAGCCTCGGTTAGCTCATTGGTTAGCCTCGGTTAGCTCATTGGTTAGCCTCGGTTAGCTCATTGGTTAGCCTCGGTTAGCTCATTGGTTAGCCTCGGTTAGCTCATTGGTTAGCCTCGGTTAGCTCATTGGTTAGCCTCGGTTAGCTCATTGGTTAGCCTCGGTTAGCTCATTGGTTAGCCTCGGTTAGCCTGCCCTGGAACGATATTTAGTTTTTGTGACCTCAGGTCTGACTTGAGGGAATGTTTGGTCAAACACTTTGTGTTTTGTCTCATAGTGGCGTGTTGTCTCTTTTAATGAGCGCCACGGTCTCTGAACAAATGAGACACACTGGTTCTGTGCTCCCAGTGGGCAGGATGAACATGAAGAGTCCACTCAGGGTTAAAAGCTCTGTTCTCACTGTCCACGTTCCTCTTCTTGGAGAGCGCCATGTGTAATTATTTGTCTCTCCCTGTCTGCCGCTAACACGCCTGTTCACTCTCCTCTCCGCTTCTCTCCCTGTATCGCTCACTCGTCTCTTTCGTCCTCTGTAGGCGGCGGTTAAAATAGAATCTCCCCTCCAAAATTGAAATCCCCTATTAATGTATTGATTATAGGTCCGGGTCCGTATAGGTCGGCGTCCGGACTCGGACCGCGGTCCGCCTGTTGCTGACCCCTGCACTACACCAAGATAGCTTGCACATCTTCCGGCGCAAACTGAAAACTCATCTCTTTCGACTCCACTTCGAGCGTTAGAACGATTAACGAAGCACTTTTATACTAATAAAGGACTGGATTACCTAAAGCCAGTTGAGTAGCACTTGAAATGTTTGGCTCTATGAAACCTGATATACTTATATGATTCTGTTTTCTTCAAGGTTGTGTCTTCCTGGTCGAATGTACTTATTGTAAGTCGCTTTGGATAAAAGCGTCAGCTAAATGCAATGTAATGTAATGTAATGTAACCAATGACGAAAACTGATACTACTTTATACAAATGAGATGGAGAAGATAAGCCACTAACTCCACCTGTACCCTTGACCCAATACCCTCCACATTTGTTAAAGAGAGCATCCTTCCCAACTCATCGCCACCATCATTAACTCCTCCCTCAGATCTGGATCAGTTCCCCCCTCTCTCAAACTGGCTGCTGTCACACCCATTCTCAAAAGACCTGGACCTGGACACCTGACATCATGTCCAACTTCCGGCCCATCTCAAATCTCCCCTTTCTGTCAAAAATACTTGAACGTGTCGTTGCCTCACAACTTAAATCCCACCTCAGCTCCAATGACCTCTTTGAGCCATTTCAATCCGGTTTCGATGAAAACACAGCACCGAAACAGCTCTTCTGAAAATCACAAACGACCTCCTCCTCTCCTCTGACTCCGGCAACCTGAACATCCTCATCCTCCTCGACCTCACCGCAGCATTCGACACCATTAACCACACCATCCTGCTGTCCCTCCTTGAATCATCACTCAACATCACCGACACTGCACTCTCCTAGCTGAAATCCTACCTCACCGACAGACATCAGTTTATCAACATCAACAACTGCACCTCCTCCACTGCTCCTCTGTCCCAAGGTGTCCCCCAGGGTTCGGTGCTTGGCCCCCTCCTCTCCATCCTCCCCCTTGGCAAAATAATTTGTGGCCACAACCTTCATTTTCACTGCTACGCCGATGACATCCAACTTTATATCTCAACAAAAACCATCACCCCCACAACACACTCCACTCTCACCAACTGTCTCTCAGAAATAAAAGCATGGATGCAAACAAACTATCTCCAACTGAACAGTGCCAAATCAGACATCATCATCATCGGCCCCCCATCCTGTATCAACGACATACAGAATTTCAACTTCACCATTGACAGCCACACTCTACCCCCCCCCTCACATCCGCAACCTCGGAGTCATCTTCGACAGTCAGCTCAAATTCAACCACCACATCAATCACATCACCAGGACCGCCTTTTTCCACCTCAAAAACATTGCCCGTCTCCGTCCATCACTCTCCTCCTCTGCTGCTGAAACCCTGATTCATGCATTCATCACTTCACGACTCCACTATTGCAATAGCATCCTCTACGGCAGTGCTTCTCAAACTTTTTTCAGTAATGTACCCCCTTTGAAACATTTTCTCAGCCAAGTACCCCCTGACCGTCCCCGGACATTTTTGACAGAAAAAGCCTATACATAATTTACAATATAGTGATGTTCCATCAGTGTGTGATTTATTAACTCCTTCATGCATGAATTACAACAAACTAAGGATATTTTCATCTTTATGCATGAAAAAAAAGAATATAACGAAAACAAAATTAAAACAGATTTTAAGGAGTTTTTCAATTGAAGTAATATATGTTTAACAAACCAATGAACAAAATTATATATTATGAAAAACTATAAATACAATACAAAAATTGAACATGTTTATATGAGGACCCCCTTAGTGTTTCAAGGAATATTTTATTTATTTAAAATTGTGTTTTCTATTTAACTTATTGTACTAAGATTATTTTTGTAATCATGCATGGTATTTCTTTAATTAACCTTTATTTTTTTTATCTCATACCCCCTGCAGTACCCCAATGTACCCCTAGGGGGCCACGTACCACCATTTTAGAATCACTGCTCTACGGCAGTGATTCTCAAACTATTTTCAATAATGTACACCCTTTGAAGAAAAAAAAATGCAGCCAAGTACCCCCTGATCAGCGCAAAACTATTTGTTGGGAGGAAAAAAGCCTATATAAAGAGGTACAGTACAGTAGGGGTGTAACGGTTTACAAACATTTTGGTTTGGTACGTACCTCGGTTTTTAGGTCACGGTAATAAAATATATATATATATTTTTTTATTATTATTAAACTGTGAATAATGTATTCACTCAAATAAATACAAAATATAATAAAATAAACATTAAGGTGCAGCATTTCAATGAATTGAAATAATCTGTATTTGAACTTTACTGTACTAGTACTCACAAAACATAAACTATTAGTTTTGGGTTTTTAATTATTATTAAACTGTGAATATTCACTCAAATACAAAATATATTAATATAAACATTAAGGTGCAGCATTTCGATGAACTGAAATAATCTGTATTTGAACTGTACTGTACTAGTACCTAAGCAGCCAGCTTGACATTATGACTTGCTTGTCATTGTATTTTCATGTTGTTCTAAAGAAAGATGAACTTGTCCACATTGCTTGCCGAAAGGGCAGATCTGCTGGCACTAACAATGTCTCCTGCTGTGGAGAACACCCTCTCTAGGGACAGTGGCAGCAGATACAGCCAGGTAGCGCTATGCTAACATGGCAACATAAGGATACTTGGTGTTTGTAATAGCTTTGGCTCGGTCTGAACTCTCTGCGAGTGGTGGAGGCTTAAATGCTAGTGGGAGTTGGGTTTGCACTTCAGTCTTTTTTCTTTTGGTACCGGTGATATTCACGTTCGGGTGATGCCTTTTCAAATGAGTGTGCAAGTTTGATGTATTGCCAGCCGCGTAACCAATGTTAGTTGAACAATGCCGACAAACAGCTTTGGTTCGGTCCACCTGTCTTTGTCCGTCATCCTTGTACGTAACTGCGAAACCAAAATGTTCCCAAACCGGAGACTTCAATGATGCTGGTGGATTTTTGAGCTCAACTTTATCTGCGTTCGCCATTTCGACAGTTCCTCAAATGACTGACTACATTTGAACGCATCCCTGTGACCAGCTCTCATAGTATGCCTCTCGTCCAATGAAATGACTTGCTCGCTCTATGACGCGTTGAACCCAATGTGAGCAAATTACTCTGAATGCTGCGACGCAGCACCTGAGATTACTTCCAAAAGGTTGTTCACGTTCTCAATATTTTACGTTTAATTTTATATTCGTTCGGTACACTTCGGTACACCGAACCGAAGGGCCCGTACGTGTACCGTTACACCCCTACAGTACAGCCTTGCACCATCTGTGTCTGATTTATTAAAACAACAACCTTGTAACTGAGAAACACTTAAATGCTACATTTAAATGTTTACAATCCATCACTAAATTCATGGCAAACTAATTTTAACATCATGCAATAACACTAAGACGACATTAGTTGCATTGAACTGATCTTTTTAATAAGTTGTACTAACAATTTAGTGAGAAACATGAGCTTGTGCTTCACTGAGGAGCTTTGTCATTCTGACAGGGAGGCAAACTGCAGATATTACACTTCGTGTTTTGAAATATGTGTAACTCTGTTCATATAAAACCCACACTGCTCAAACTTCGTTACTTTTCCTAAAATTGGTATTTTTATCTATTTTTTTTCATTAACATAAAATAAATCTCACGTACCCCCTGCAGTACTCCAACGTATCCCTAGGGGTCCGCGTACCCCCATTTGAGAACCACTGCTCTACGGCATACCACCCAACCTCCTCAATAAACTCCAACATATCTAGAACTCTGCTGCCCTCCTCCTCCTCACCCACACCCACTCCCGAGACCACATCATTCCGTCCTCCAGAACCTCCACTGGCTCCCCGTCCGTCAAATAATCCACTTCAAAGTCCTCCTCATTACTCACAAAGCCCTCAACAATCATCCCCCCCCTACCTCACAGACCTGCTCCACCACCACACTCCCCCCTACCTCACAGACCTGCTCCACCACCACACTCCCCCCTACCTCACAGACCTGCTGCACCACCACACCCCTTCCCGCTGCCTCCGCTCATCAAAAGCCAACCTCCTATTCATCCCCACCCGCATCAATCACCGGACCTGGGGGGACAGAGCCTTCTCCGTCGCTGCCCCCTCCCTCTGGAACTCACTCCCACAACCCATCAGAGACTGCACTGACCTCACCACCTTCAAAACACTCAGCTCTTCAATCTGGCTTTTAATGTGTGATTGTTTTTGTATTATTATTACCTCACTCCTCTGTACCTCTCCGACCTCCTGCACATCAACACACCCATCCGCACACTCAGGTCTTCTGCTTCCCTCAGCCTCACTGCACCCCCCTTCCGTTTAACCACCATGGGGTCTAGAGCCTTCAGCCGCTCTGCACCCCGCCTCTGGAACTCCCTCCCACCTGACATCCGCAACACTGACTCTCTCTCCATTTTCAAATCACGCCTCAAAACATATCTCTTCACACTCGCATATCCACCCTGATCATTATCCATCACACATACTCTGTTTTATTGATTTGGTTATTTGATTGATTTATATACTGCATTGTCTTGTTTATGTCTCTTATGCTGGTGTTATGTATTGTGTATCTTGTTTTTTATGTGTTTGTACGGCGACCTTGAGAGCCTTGAAAGGCGCCTATATAAAATAAAAGAATTATTATTATTTGACTTTAACTATATATATTTATTTGTTGTTCTTTTCTTTTCACTATATCTGTAAAGCGTCTTTGAGCACCTGTAAAAGCGCTAACACAATTAATCTGTTATTAAGATGAAGTACACTATATCCATGTCAGAAAAAACATAAATACAATAAACTAAATGTTGCAGAGGATGTTAGTGACCAAGTAAATGTAGGAGTCTATATACATATCATTAGTTTCACAGTGTACTTGGGTGGGGTTAAGACTACACTTGAATTGTTCCTACAGGAGTAGGAGTGTGTGTTGCAGCAGTGTGTACCTGTGAGATTTCTGTGATGGTCTCTGGGTCCACGGTGGACATCTCTATGTAGCACTTGCCCGGCCTGATCCCCTGCAGCACTCCACTGGGGCCCATCACCAGCTGCAGAGCAACAAACACACAAGCTCTTTTACCCATGAGCCAGCCAATCACACCTCCACAGGAAACTGAGCTCAGATGGTACTCACATCCCGTGCCGCCTTTGGGTCAGAGACACAGGAGAAAGTGATGTCACATGTGGAGGCCACCTCTGCAGGAGTGCGGCCTAACCGGGCCCCCTCCTGGGTGAACAGGTCGCACTGCAACACAGGAGAGGACATTTCTATAGTTAGTTTTTATTATGAGTCACATGTACCAATCTCTGGTATTGTAATGCTGATTGGTAACCTCATTTTGATTCATATATGTTATACCTGTGTTATTCTATATTGGTTATTTTATTCTCTTTGCTTTGTAATGACTGTTTTTAAATACCATTTTATAATGTGATCCGTTGCACTATTTCTTAATGCTCTTAATGTTTTAAATTGTTGTAAAGCACTTTGAATTGCCTTGTGTTAAAAGGTGCTATATAAAATAATTTTCAGAAGGAATAAATGCTTATTTTTAAGATGTCTAACTCTACACATTTTAAGGTGAACATTTTTGTATCAATATGTTCCGGGTTGTATCAGTGTTGTGTGCCTGTCTGTCCGTCATGAGGTTTCTATATGAATACAACCAACGTGACCTCAAATGTTCCTTTAGCAGGGTATCCTGTCGACAGCCTGACACGAGACAACTATCTTTGCATGTGTGCAACTCATTAGCTGGAAAATAAACTAGTGTTACTGCTCTACGAATTAACCCTCTTCATTTTCAGTGGCTGAATGAGTCTATAAAACTCTGACAACTTAAAAAAGGCTGCACGATTAATCAAAATGTAATCTATCGGCATATTCAAATCGCAGGAGGATCAATATTAGTTACAGGCAAAACGTATGCAAATAACCTTGTAAAAAATAAATGTTGGTGTTCCATAGATGTACGGTTTACAAACGGTATTCCACAGAATAAAATATTAAATATATATTTATTTTACATTTAGTGTGAAATCCACAGCCTCTGCTTCTTCACAATAAAATATACAACAATTGAAACACCATTATTCCTTCAACAATGAGAAAAAATATGCAAAAAAGATAAATTCCTCCAATATCGTCATTCATATTGCAATATGAGTTAATGAGATTGATCAGTGACAGGAGTGTGTTCTGTTAGTACCTTTTCTGCTGTGCGGTTCCACACTGTGACAACATGACCCATTTTCAGCAGGTTGGAAACGATCCCGCTCCCCATCAGCCCCAGCCCCAGGAACCCTATCCTGCAGGACAGACATGAAACATTCCTCATGTGGGTTAGCTATAAGTAAGATGAGTAAGAAAATACAAAATGTTATCTTAAGGGATCTAGTTATATAATAGTAATTGTGTGATTTAGTTAATAGTGTTCCTAATGTGCAGGTACCTCTTATCTGTAGGTGTGATGCTGCCGTTGATGGCTGTGCTGTCTGCTGCTTGGATAGATGTTGACCCTGTGTCCTGCAATCACAAGACACGCTTGAAGAAACTTCATACTGGAAATACTATAGTATAACATCTAATAGTAGAAGTTCAAATGAAAAATAACGTCAATCCTCAAAAAGTTGGAACTTTTCCACTGGTAGTTACTAGGGATGCACCGATACATCGGCATTGGACGATGTTCGCCCTACTTACTGGCCTCGGCAAATGAGGTGACATTCATCAATGGTAGTGGCCGATGCTTTTTTGTTGCGTTCCATCATAACATCTGCAGCACCCGTAGTTCGTTTATATAAAAAAAACATTAACTAAAGAAAACCAAAAAACAACATGTCGGCAGTGTGGGACTATTTCACTGTTTCACCATGAGATCCGCGATTTGCAAAAAGTGTTCCGTTGACACGGCCCGGGTATAATAAACAGGGCGCTCTCTTTTCCTCTCTCCCTCTCCTGACACCCCGTCAGTATCCGTCTCATGCAGCTGGCTGATCCAGTAATGAGTGATCCGACAGTAAAGACTAAATATTTTCACAACTAGTGTAGGTAGATTCAGAGGTAGATCAAATAGCTAGGTCTAACTCTAAAGGTGTGTTTTGCTCCGCTCACCGGTCCCTCACAGCGGGCAGAGCTGCAGGTGATCCGCTGCATACTTTCTAAACAGCTTACTATGATGTTATAATAACGAACTTGCTCAGCCTTTGAAACTGAAACCATTTAGCGAGAATTTTTTTTGTTTTTCCTGGCAGAAAGTGGAATAACAACAGTGGAAGAAAATTACATTAAAACATCGGCATCGGCCAAATTGTTGTTCTTAACATAGGCCAAGAAATGTAGCACCGGTGCATCCCTAGTAGTTACTTCACCTCTTCAATGATCTTCAGGCGCTTGCTGATGGGCTCCATGGACGAGGCTGGCTGTGGGCAGTGAGGACCAGAGAAGGTCAGAACAATCATCCAAACTGTACACATGCCTTACCAATATGGCTTTTACTGTATCTTAATTCAAACAAACTATGCGATAAGAAAATGATCCAATAAGTACTCATATAAATACAGAATATAGACTATAAAATAACACATACTAACAAACAGCATTTAATGTAGAAGAGTCTCAACCCCTGTGGGGGAGGCATGATGAATTAAGCAAAAGCAAAATCACGACTACTCGTACTGGCAGCCATGCAAATTGGCGATAGTTTACACCACAATAGAATAAAGGGGTTGATTTGATTTGTGTCGGGTCATTCTTCACATCTAAATGATGGATTCAAAAGCATTCTCCATTTTGGTGAGTTTCCTCTCCGTGAATAGAGTGGTGCAGTGACGAGTCCTACAACCCAGTGTTGTAGTCAAGTCACCAATTCACGAGTCCAATTCACTCTCGAGTCACCACTCTCCGAGTCCAAGTCCGAGTCACCCAAGAAGAGTCCAAGTCAAGTCCGAGTCACAAGTCTTCATGTATTAATCTTAGTGAATATATGTGTTGAAATGTAGCTGCTCCTCTACATTGCTTTTATCCTGTCATGTTATACTAATGTGTCTATTGAACTGCTGTGAAGCCAGTTTGGCTACAATTCTTGTATTAGGTGCTATACAGATATAAAGCTTATTACTAATATCAATATTATTATTGTAAATGACCTTTAACATGTCTAACTATATTTAAAATGAGTTACCTTTTAGAGAAGTGATTACATTTATATGCCAATATTTTCCTATGGTAAAGTTTTCGTTTTGCACTTTTATTTTAATAGTAATAAGATCGGGACTCTTATTTTGAAGGAACTTTTACCGTTTAAATCGGTTTACTGATAAAGATTTAGTCCCAGAAAGCACATGGCTACTTATTATGCAAAATGACCTCATTCTGCATGTTAAGTAGCCATGTGCTTTCATGTTATCGGCTGAATCTTTATTTATTGATTAGATCACGTTACTCTGATGATAGGGTTCAAGACAGCCTATATGTCTGAACTCGATCCTTAGAGTAATGTAAAGTTACGGAGCCTTCTCTTCAATATTGTTTCCACATAAGGAGCATTTTGCGCTGCTCTTTTCCAATGTGGAAGCAGAATGTGTGAAAGCATACAGCAGGATGCGGGGTGTGTTTCTAGACATCTCTAGACTGGAATAGCGGGGCCCAGTATGTGAACTCGCCTCACAGGTGCACACGCCAGGATAGAGGACATCAGACTCCAGAGAAAACTTGCTCAAGTCCGAGTCCAAGTCGGAGCGTCAATGTACAAGTCGAGTCCGAGTCATCGTGGGGGGGGGGGGGAAATTCACGAGTCCGAGTCCAAGTCAGCCTACGCGAGAATTCACGAGTCCGAGTCGCGTCAATTAGTGCGAGTTTGAGTCCAGTCACGAGTCCCAAAAATCGGCACTCGAGTCCGAGGCCGTTTCTCAATCTCGAGGATACTGGCTTCCTACGTCATCGAGTGCCGCCGAAGGACTGTTCCAATCTCTAGCATACTTGGAATTCCACCGAGGCCGCGTCCTTGGTTTGGGGGAAATTTCGAGGCTGCACATGAGTAGACTTCGCGTCCTTAAAATCCCCACAATGCTTTGCGCACAGACCAATTTCAAAAACCCTTGCGGAGAATGGCTGAACCGACGCAGCACATATTGAAATGTAAGTATGTAGTGGCGTAGAACATGTGTTGGTAAATATGTTACTTTGTTACATTTGTTATCACCAAAAATGTGTTCCGTGAAAGTAAAGCAAGTTCATAATTAGACATCGTGAGGTAATTATTTTCGGTACAGTTTATGTTGAAACCGTTGGAGAGAGTGGCACACTTGTTAGCCTGTTCCATTCTTCTTCGTTTTCCGAAGCCGTGGCTTGGAAGCATACTTGCTTAGTTTCTGAAGGAAGTGACTTGGAAGTACGCGACTACCAAGCCAGCATCCTCGAGATTGAGAAACGGCCCGAGTCCAGAACTTGAGTACTCCATCTCTGCTACAACCCAGAAGTGAGTCAGCATGTTACCACTGCCGGTTCCCTCGTCTCAGAGTCAATAGGCTTTCTCCATAGGATTTAGGAAAATAGCTCGAAATAAGGTCTGTGGAAAATGAACCCGTTTGATAAATGCACGTTTTGGCGCAGGAGCTCCAACAAGGCGTTTAGGATAGAGAAACCCCGAGTTGTACGGGGAGTGGTTTGCAATTCGCCCAGCCAATCAGAAATTGGAACCCTTTCTCCTGCTAGAGAGCAGGGACTTTCCTGGGGAGAAAAGGTTCCCGAAAAAAATAAACGTTTGGTGTGAGCGCAACATCCCAGGAACTATCGGAACTATTTCTTGGAAAAGTACTCCGGTGTGAAAGCGCCTATTGACTCGGAGACGAGGGAACCGGTAGTGGTAAAATGCTAACTCACTTCCGGGTTTTAGGACTCGTCACTGCACCACTCTATTGCCGAGTTTATTTGTGTGGATAACATTTGCTCAGTGTTTTTTCCGTGGTATTGTTTGTGAAAGGTAAAAGGAGGAATAGATCTGGTTACGCTGCCTTTGTCAAGTTCGAGGAACACTGTTCAGCTTGGGTGTGCCAAAAGAGAAGTGAAGATCTTTATCTATATTGACCAAATCAGATTCACAATACTACAGATTCCCAGATCCTTTTTTTAACAAGATCACACTTCATAACCAAACTGCTATATGAAACTACTACCGATAACCAGACCTGGATAAAAGAAAAAACGAGGTGTAGATGTGAAAATATTTAGCATGCTTCCTCTTACCTTCTCAGACTGGCTGAGGAGGAAGTGATGGAAATGTGGATCATCTTTCACAGGCTGTAACAGAATAAGATGTCATTGTGAAAATGTTCTCTTTGCATGAGTATAGAAAGATGTTAGTCTACATCACACCATGCTGACTAAAATTACCAAGATTATTTCTACTAACAAATAGCTTTTTAAACCATTTTGCCCTGAAGTGTTAATGCTGAGATACCTACATTTCCTGAATATTCCTAAATTCCCAGAAACATTTAAAAATTCACCTTTTAGATTTTACAATAAAAAACTCCATAAATAATGAGGACACTGTACATTTTTAGAATATATTATATATATATTCAAGCCAATCCAAACTACAAGAACATCATTTGCCATTTAAGAGAACTACAGATGTGCCGATTAAATAGTTCTCACACAAATGCACAGGTTTTATTTAATGTAAGTGATGTCAGGAGGTCATTACTTTACAGATCTACACTCATCAACTACTATTCCCCAATCAGGAAGTAGAAATCAATTATAAAGGTAATGAAAACATAACGTTTACATTTCTTTTGCAGTTCATCTGTATGACTTCTGAAACTATATTATATCTGTGAGCCAAGCTCCACCCATAAAGCCAATCACTGCCACAATCTGTCCATGTAAGTATAGACAGTGTCGAGTCAGCCCTCACAGCTTCAGTTTGGTGTGCACAAACAAATATTTGCTGTTGTTTGGGTTTGAAAACAATAAAATATGATTTCCAACAGGCTTAGATTGTATTAAACATGTTGTAGTATTGCAGAGGAAAATGCAGAGAATGAAAAGTGTAATAAGGAAGTGAGCAAAGTGTGTTTACAAATCACCAGAGCAGAAAGAAGGTTGTTGAGTGTCTAGTACTAACCCACACTGACTTCATTTCAAAACAGGGACGACTAACAGAAATACAGTTTTTCTACATGCCTATTTTGGACTAACGCCTGCAGCCGCTAAGTCGCCATTTTTTGATATTTGTGAAAATGTTTCCACTGAAAATGATAGACAGTTATCTACAGTTTCATTACTACCAGAAACTGTCACAGAGCAGGTCAAACATTTGTGGTCGAACTGAATCAAACATCATCCTTCTTTTTGAGCCGCCTCATGCAGAGTTGGTGACTATCTCAACAGCACACGCCAAACAAACAACACACAGGTTCAGGAGTCAAGAGTGAGCAGCACAAAGGTCAGAAGGAAAGGTCTGCAGGTGCTGGTGATAAAAGCCAAAGCTTAAAGTCAGGTGGAAGAACAGCAAGGGCAGGCTTGTTGGGAGGGGGAGGGTTCACCTACACTGCTCTCCCATTTGTATCCTGAACCGGGTCCAGCCCCCAGCCTCTCATGAGTGGACGGCTCGGGGTCAGAGTCAGTTAAGTCCTTAAGGAGGAGAGAGACACATTTTCACCTTCTAAACCAGAGGGGGAATCTTTAGAGGTTCATGTCTGTGGGATCTTTTTCTGTCATTTAAACAAGGAGACAGTGTTGTGGTCCAAATATTAAAAATGTCCATTCACCTCCACTGTTATTAGGATTGACGCCGAAATAGGCAGGCATTTTAATACCTGAATAGACAAAACCAAAGTGATGTGCATAGATAGATACCACTAGAGGTAGGTGAGAACATTTGTTCAGTGTCATTTAGGCGAATGGATATCAGACATGTGAAGTTGTGACAACATAAGCTCCACGGCCTCTGCTTCTTGACATTTCCTCTTTGAAAGTGTCCTAACATGGATATGAAATCCAGGTTTCTGAGGAGAAGATGATTAAGGAACTTAAAAATGAGGGTGGTTTAGAACCAGAGACACTGAATACATCTCACTTTGAGGGTATTACTCAGAAACCAACTGGATTATACAACATGTATATACCACACCATATGAATGAAGAACTAATACGTAATAAAACCTGACAGAAGTTAAGGATAATACACTGAATTTAATGTCTAATAAGGTACCATGGTGTTGGACTACATTATCGTTTGTGACTGGAGTAAATATGATCCAATAGCTATGTCAGTGAATGGCTGGTTTTGAAGGTGGACACAATCAAAAATCACAGATCTCATTCTCAAGTTGACAATTCCTACAGATAAACAAAGGAGCATGTTTCAATGCAAAACGTTGATGCGGCCTGACAGGACAGACGCTCAACTCGTCTGTGTCTTACTAACCTTCTCAGAGGGGTCCTTCAGGGCGCTGAGGTCCTCATCATCCTCCTCAAGTATTTTCAGGGGCTTGTTGCGTGTCTTCTTTCCTTTCGACTCTGCTTTGCTGTCTGAGTTCTGTTAAAACACAGATAATCATTTTGTGCTGCTATTTTGGCGTGCCAGGACACTTCTCAGTAGTCTGACAACCTTTTGAATGTAGGGCGGTTCTAAAAGAAGCACATGACATGTACACTGAGCAAAGGGATAACTGATAAGTTAACTGCACTTATTCGGGTGGGCAGATAGCCTAAAGAGAGACCTTGGGTCCTACTGAATAAACATTTCACAAAGCTAAGTGTGACACTTCAGAGTATTTCATGAAGGAAATTCTCCCTTCATTTAATATCATGAATTTCAAAGCTTGAAAGGAGCATGTCCCACATCTGTGTTGGTGTTGGTTGAGCAATATCACAACTAATGCTTGCATCTGCCTTTAAATATAACTGAGTACAACAATGTCAGTAGAGCATTTGTTGTCTTTTATACCCAGTTACCATGAAATCAGCAACATTGATGTAACATGTGTAATTGTTAAGAACCTTTTAGGCATGCATTTGCCAAAATAGATCATATAAGTGTGTTCAAGTAGCAGTTAGATATTAGCGGAATAATCTTCACAATATATGACAAGCACTACACATGTATGGCTAATTTACAGTATAATAATCTAAGATCTGACATTCGACTGACAGCCAACGATCAGCTCCTCAACCAATACGTTTTAGTCAATTGTCGAGCAAAGAAATCCGTGAATTTCATGAAAAGCCACATTTGATGGTGTCTCATATTCAGTGTCTCCCAACAAATATGTTGTGGTCCAAGGGTTATATTTTTGACACGCTTCACCTTCTGTTAATCATTTCCTAGAAGTCTTTGATCTTTACACACCCCCTTCTCCCAAAATGCTTTCTACAGGGGACGTGTTGTTTTTTTGATGGAAAAACACAAACTATCTAAACATGCTAGGTACAACTCCATGACTGAATGCTGCGTGGTAGGACACCCCCTCACCTGTTCCTTCCCCTTGGCTTTCTTCAGGAAGTCTTCCACTGCATCCACCGCCTGCTGGAAGCGCTTCCCTTTATTTATCTTGATCATCTCCTCTTTGTGGGGGTGGTAGGGCTTCAGCTGTTCTACTTTGATCCAAGCACTGGGCAGGCACACAGAAAATCAGCTCAAATATACGATGGAGAAGGAAATGCCAAATCCGTCTGAAAAGGCACCCAACAAAGCATACTTACTGGTCCTCAGTTCCAAAGAATTTCACAAAATGACATTTTTTGCCCCTGGGCTTCTTCAGGTCCTTGGGAGGGCTTACGACCTAAAATAAATAAAAGTCATTAGCTTAACATTTGATTTACAAATATACAGATGTATTCTTCCTTGAAGCAGCCGTTGGCATGTCCTTACCTTCCCTGGCCATGGTGGGTATCGACCAAGCTTCCCCCTGAAAGAAGAGTTCAATATTTAGACCTGTGTCCTTTTTCTTTTATAGTACACAGACCCAGTACAACATGCTCTATGACCAGTGGTTCTGATGCTGGCGTAGGTCCAACCTTGTGATCAAAGACGACAGGGTATTCACTTTTAAAAACGAGAAAGATGTTATGCGTATGTGTACAAACATATATTTATCAGCATGTGTGTTGTGAGGCCACTTCACTTTTTTACTATTACAGTGTAATTGACATGTCATGTGGTGTTTTAATTGTTTGTTTGTTTTGCTTCCCACAATGCAAAATGCATAAAAACTGCAGCACTGCAAAACAGGTCAAATATATTAGGATACAAGAACATTGAGAATTGACAAATTAGAAACACTTTAATAGTATAATGGAAGTGCAATGATATCTAATTTGGTGAGCTGAATTATGTTTTATTTAGTTGAGGCTGTCAGGTCTCTTTAAGTTTGTCCTCATAAATTGTAGAAATATTTCTCTTGACACACTGCATGCTTTTTCAGTGTTTTAACAGCAACTCGGGTAAGGTAACTCCTGTACCTCAAACTTACAAAGTAGTCATATATTAGGGTGGATGCTATGTATTTACCAGTAGCGATGTGTCATCATTCAATTAAGACGGCTCCTTTAAAAGCAAGATTTCGGAGCAGCTTTAAGCAAGACGTAACAAGAGGAACAAACACTCCTGCTTGACTTGCTGTTGTTCTGAACATTACTGAAAGTTACAAATACCAAGATATTTTACTTAAGAAAAGTGGTAATACTACAGTGTAAAAAATGCTCAGTTTCAAGTAAAAGTCCTGCATTTAACATCTTAAGTAAAGTGAATTTATATTTCACTTACGTTTATAATCTGATTCTGTGGAGTCACTAGTGAAGAAAAAGTACCCCAAAATCGTACTTGAGTAAGTGTACTTAAGTACACCAGTGGCAATAATACATGGTAATCCGTGTTGCTAATGTACGAGGCAACGCACCCCATTTTCTTTGAGTGTGTATTGTATCCTGCTGATAACACCACAACAAGAACACAAACTGGTACAACATGACACTGACACGAGAAAGTTATCTATCTGGATTTAAATTGATCCAAATTCAGAGTCCAATGGAAACTTGTAAATCAATATAGATAAACGCCAGCTGTCTGCGGAGAACATGTAGCAGCAGCTAACAGGAAGAGTAGTGTATACAGTAACAGCTAGCTGGCGTCGCTTATGCTACAGTGCTAGCTCAGCTCGACACAGATTGGACATTAAAGAGCGTTTGGTGAAGCTGAACATATCAACCTGTCGGTATAATACTTTAAAATGTTAAACGACTGGTTAGTATCTGAAATAACTACATTTCGTTTAAGTCTTAACATTTTCTGTAGCTTATCTGCTAGCTATCTGCTAACAACGGCTGCTGGCTGAGTCAGCTTTGCTAGGAATTGGTTTGGGTTGACCATCAACTAGCCCATTACGCAAACACGTCCATTACCTGCATCTGGTTAACACCAACAAAAAAACATGAACAACTAGATAACACACTACGTTATGCAAAGCAAGGTCATTTAGTAGAGCCAGCGGCGTTTGAAATGTTTAAAGGTTATTTACCACACTAGGTCCCCGATCCTCAGATGCACCGTCGCCATCTTACAACTTTAATAAAACGTCGCACTGAATGACTGAATGAGGTAGAGCAAACACACACACACCCACTCATCCGAGCCCCCAGTAAGTGCGCCGGACTCTGTGCCCAACATGTGTCCAAACGGCGGTACTGCAACTTCCGTATCAGTCCATGACGTCACCTGGCCCAAAACAACTTTTTCCCATTGACTAGGGAAAGAGACGTCTGTAAATCGGTGGATTTTTTTTAAAAACTAAATATTATGGACATAAACGCGAGTGAAGTCTAATCGGACAGGAGAGGAGACACGTAGCTCTGCATGATAACCTGCAGCTCCTCCCGCTGTGATGGAGCGATGAGCGGAACAAAACACACACTTCAAGTTAGATCATCACCCTTAGCTATTTTAATGACCTCTACCTAAACTAGTTATAAAATATGTTTATTTTTACTGTCGGGTCACTCATTAGTTACTGGATCAGCCAGCTGCATGAGACCACGGATACTGACGGGCTGTCAGGAGAGGGGGAGGAAAAGAGAGGCTCCGTCCTCTGTGTATTATTCTTATATTATTATATGTCGTTATTCATTTGTTTTAAAGCTCAATAAATAACAAAGAAGACCTTTGACCGGCACTTTTCTAATTTTGTCCGGAAGATTTAAACTTGAACGGATGTGATGACGCTGCACAGCTGATCGTCTGACAGCAGCTCTGTCCCCGTTATTTCCACACACCCCCCCGCCTCTGTTAGTACACATTTACTGACACAAACATTTGTATCATCTGTTGTAGACCCCAATAAATAAAATAAAATAAGAACTAATTGTCAAAAAAGATAAACGCCATTCTTAAAATGTATAAACGAACAATAGTTTGATGAATATTGATTAGAGTGCACAATAGAAATAAAATAATTGAGAGAAGAAAAATAGATATATTATCTATCAAAACCCAGTTAGATTAACATTCATTGGATTGCACACTTTGTTTGTTTGTTTGGATATGTAGCAAATTAACATTTTAATAGCACTTAATGATTGACTGAATGGAAATGACAATAAATGAAAATGTAAAACGAAAAAAGCGATCATGAAAATGTTTCCAATAAATGAATTAAATGATTTTTGACCACTTTGTTGTTCAGATATATCACATATTTGTAACTAAATGAGACATGAATTGAAACAAAACACGGTATAAACTGAGGAGTGACTCCCGTGAGGTTCATGTATTTTCTTCACTCTGCTCTCATGTCAAGAAGCATCAGATCAGTGCATGCACTTGCCTCGTCCAATCAGTGAGCGATACACAGTAAGGGGGCGGGGTGAGTATCTGAGGATTTCATCGGAGGATGGTCTGGTGGTTCCTCGGTTATCGCTCCTCCATGATCGCTCCTCGCTCCTCGATCCTCGGTCCTCCGGCAGAAATAAGAGCGGTAAGACGGTACTCAAGATGGCGCAGGCAAATCAACTTCCGGTGAGACCGAGGACCGAGGAGCGAGGAAATTAAAATAGTCGACCTGAGAAGCAGCCCCGGACTGGCCATCGGGAGGACCGGGAGGTTTCCCGATGGCCTGGCCTGTTAAGTGGCCTGCTGGCCTGAGGATTTTTTTTTACACGTATTGTGAACGCAACGCTGCGCAAATGTGGGTCTGACTCTGGTCTGACTGCCTCACAGAGGGTGACTGGCTGTCTACATGATGTGGCCTGCCGACATGGTCACTTTCATAAAGATCATACACTAATGCCCTTGATTGGTCTCTGTGTGTCATTCAAGCTCGGGAGGGTGTGTGTGTGTGGCGCGAGAGAGAGAGAGAAAGCGCGTGCACCGGTTACGTGTATTGTTGTTGTTAGCATCTGGTGCTAGCTAGCTGCGCTAACGGATAAGGAGCTGTTTCAACAACAAGGTGGGGGGAGAGTCCTCTGCTGTCAGACTGAGAGATAACTACAGCTCAGGTGAGGTAAAGGACTCTGAGTGTTAACTTTACATAGTTAACTTAGTCTAAGTTCTCAGTGGGTCTCAAACGGTTTGGTCACCATTTATGTAAACACATATTTCCATTTGAGGGGGGAGTGATTAGTAAAATATGCATGAATAATACAAATACAATGTTAACTAGGTGAAAAAAGGTAAGATAAACTTTTAAAACTTGTTGAGAGCTAAAACTAGTCTTTGCTTCTGCCTCAAAGAGGAGCAGGGGGAGAGGAGGGAGACAGGAGAGGCTGATTCAGGAGCACAGACACACTCACTACTATAAATGAACCAAAAACAAATAAATATATAAGTTTCAATGTTTTTTCATATTGGATATGGTATGTTATTGGTTATGGCCATGTTCTTATGATTTTATGATTATTTAAATGTATACAGTTCTGTTTCATATAGGTGTAGTCTCTCTCTTTATTTCCCCCTCAAAATGCACCAGATTGATGCATTAAGTCGGACCCCCCTATAGGATTTGAGGTCCACCCCCACTTAAAATATGTTCACATGAATAGGTTCCTAAATAGATTTGCACATTTTTTTTAAATAATAACCCATGTCCATATGTTTATTATTGGGTAGTAGATTTCAACTAGACTAGAGGGCTATCACTATGGGCAGCAACGCTGTAAATATTGACAAATAAATCCAGCAAAATGGTACAAAGAACTGGTAGTGGCCTGGCTGGGTGTATAATTCCCAGCCTGACTTATTGTCCCAGTCCGGCCCTGGCCTGCGGCACAATATATATATCAAACAGCAAGGCCAACAGCATTGCGCAAAGACGCACACTTATCGCAAATACATACACAAATAAAGGGCAACATAGAAACCACTTTTGAAACATTGTGTGCGTGGCACCACAAACACTGGTAAATCACGAGCAAGGCACACTGGTTAAGGATGGCAGCTTCCTCATCGCTGCACTCGGAGAGAAATAGACGGAGACGATGAACTGCTGTTAGCTCTATTATGGCATTGTGCATGTCGTGAGAGGTGTATGTTGCTGTGTGGGGAATGCTTTCCATTATGTTGGCCAACTCTGCATCTTTGTACTGCAGCGTATACTCAAACAGTGATAGGAAGAGCCCACTGCCTGACATGCTGTGGAGTGAATCGTGGTCACCTCTGAGAGGGAGTTGGTTGACAGCTAAAAAAGCTATAATATCAATGACAGCTGACACGTAATAATGGTTCCGTGCCAGCTGATCTGCACCAAAGTACTAATTTCCTTATTTGTTTCCTCGCGTATCTGTCTCTCTCTCCACAAACTCTCACATGAAATGTGTTCTTTTGATGCGGCATGTCTTAGCAGTCCTTTATCAGTCTGTAATGCGTGTTTCCAGACGCAAAAACCTTTGACAGTAAAAGCCGCATCAGATGAAGACGTATTGACTTTAAACGGTCTACAGGGGAAACAAAAGGCTGCGTCTGCTTTTAACGAATCTTCAAGCCATGGTCTGTTGTGTACCGTGCGCTTCTTTCCTGAAAACAATCTCCCTGGAAAACGATCCAGATTCACCTGTTGGGTTTATTAACCCCAAGATCATCTGGGGCTGTTGGTCTTTGAGCGGTTGCTGGCCCAATAGTATGGGCTCAGAACAGTCTCATAAATACACACATGCACACAGAAGGATTCACACTTGTATTTCCGGATCCATACTTGTGTTTTTCAATGCACACACAAATGTGTTCCGTTTCATATACATGTAAATAAAATCCAAATACAGAAAAAAGTTTTATATATGTATTTTTGATCCTCACTTATTACTTTCCCGTTTAAATCCCCTGCACCTGCAAACACAAACAGCTTTCTGTGCACGGATCGCTGTGCATTCGTGTGTGGGTTTTTTGAGACTCCCCTGACGGTCAGCCGATTCATACTTGTAATTGTTTCTATCTATAGCCAATCAGATGTCTCCTTCATTCTAAGCCAATCACATGAGCGCGCCCCCACGAGGGTAAGATTACTTCATATACGCATTTTGCGCAGTCCGGTCAGCTCGCTAAACAGAGGGCGGAGCATCAGGTGATCATGCAGAGCAGCGTGTCTCCATCAGACGCAGCAGCTGATCTGATCTCTCTCTTGCGTCCCTTCACTCGCGTTTATGTCCATATCGATCAGATCCAGCTCTCCTGATCGGCCTTTATAGAGAGCACCGATCGTACTATACGACGCTGAAGTTGGCTTCCGATTCAGAGCATCCGATTCGGCAGTTAAGGGGAAAGTTAAGGGACATTTAATTTACAGCGCTGAGCGAACAATCCTCCGTGTTTGAACCTCTTAAATCGCTGCATAGCCGATTTATTTGGACTGGATTATCCCAGAGGGTCTAAATAACCCAGTTTGAGATTTGTGAAACCTTTATTCTATTTGTGAAAATACAAACAAGGGAGATTTCAGTGCTTTTTTCACATGTAGACCACATTAGACCAGGTCCTGATCTAAAACCACTAGACCTAGACTCATCAAATCTGGCCTGGATTATCCCAGAGAGGCTAAAGATTCTTTATAACACAGTTTGAGATTTGTGAAACCTTTATTCTATTTGTGAAAACACAAACACAGGTGGAAGGCTGAGGTTGCTGCAGCAGGCCAGGATCAGGATCAGAAAGTGAACCTCCCAGCTGGGCAAGCCTTTATGCCAGGGGTGGCAAACTCATTTCAGTTAAGGGGCCACATACTGCCCACTTTGATCTAAAGTGGGCCGGACCAGTAAAATCATAGCATAATAACCCACAGGCCCTATAACGACAATATTTCTGTTTAAGTGCAAATAAGTAGGCTACAAGTACATTCGGAAAATGTCCACATGTAATGAGACGCAAAACGTTATGAACAAACTGACATTTATTAAGAAAAAACAAGTGCAATTTCAAGTGCTACACATATGTTCTTTACAACAGATCACAGTTTCCACCTGAACTGACTCACCACAAAATACAAATAAAAACGTGGGAGCTATTAAGTGAGGAGTTTGAGTTAACCCCCCTTGCCTTGAAGATATAACATTTCTATATTTTAAAAAGAAGTTGGGCAGTGCCACATCAAATCAAACTATTGTTTGCCTAATGCAGCTGCTGATTGACATTATAATACACAATGTTCTATGACATAATAATATAACATGTTCAAATATTTCAGTAGGTTCTTATTTTCACGTCACT